AAAAAAAAAAAAAAAAAAAAAAAAAAAAAAGAAAAAAAGGTTGTTGACATACAAGGAACAAATCCACACTTGAAGCGAAGATATGAAACCTCGATATTCTTAATGGTGGCATGTCCATTTAAATGAGGCTTGCTTGAACTTTGAGTTTTATTTTAATCGGAAAAAAGAAAAACCTGAAAATTTCTCAGGTGTTCTAATCTCAGCCTCCTCAACAATAATCAACACCAGAAACCACAGCTCAAAAGCACCCCGTGAAAAGGGAAGTAAAAAAGAAAAGTACTAAAAATTAGAAGCTTCACATTGCTCCAAACCGCAACATAATGAATGTTACCTCTAGTCGGAAATACTTGACACTACGTTTAAAATCCAATTTCCCTGCAGCACCTACTGATTCAACTAACTCAATATTCTTTTTTTGTGTGATCAAACGGCGAGCAGCACCCTGAAAATTTTTCAGTAATGATCAGAATGCTACAAGATATGGCATGCAGCAACACACTTGACATGAAATGTACAACAAATGAAACACATAAAGGCAACTTTACAGCAGCAGAGGCATCACGTCCAAGCTGGGCAAGTGCCATAGCATTCTTCTGCTGACTGGCAAACCGTGAAGCAGCCTGATGCCTGGTGGCTGAAATCGCTTGCCAGGTAAGAGTGGACCTCCAAAGACTTTGCTTGGTAACCTTGAATCCCTATGAAACAAAAAATGTACATAAAATACTGCATCAGTATCTGAATCAAAATTTCAAACATAGTTTCAAAACCAAAAACACATGTTCAGTATCAATGGACAGATGTTGTTGAACCCATACTAAAATATGGCCAATTGAAACAAAACTCATGCAGATGATTCAGCATTCCAACAGCAAAAAATCATAAAGCAGTCTATATAGTGTGGATACTGCGTGAGGATTTCCTCAAACCCAAGATACACTCTTATTTAACACTTGACTTTCACTTGTCCAATTTCAAAAGAACAATCCGGTCTTAGTTTCCTCAACACGTACATAACGATGAAATTACTGTAGATCAGCTCCAAAATTTGCATGTGGATCAAATCCCGCAGTTCTGAAGACAAGTATTCAAACTTCATATTTGAAATATATATTTATAATTTTATCCAAAATTCATATTTGAATACGTGCATAAAAATATATTTATAATTTTATGAGGTAACTATTCAGCCCTAATGGTTGGTTCAGTCGAAATATTACTATTGTTAATAAAACTGCAGACAGACCACTTTGGAGGTTTTAAGTTGGTGATTGTTACGGGGAAATAGTATCAAAAATTGATTTAAAATGTTGTCTGAAGTTTACACCTTCAGTACTATTTGTCAAGACTTGCGCCCCGATTAATAAGGATTACCTCTAGACTTACATCACAAGGCTGATCCTCAGGGAGGCTGAGATGTGCATTCAATGTCCTGCCTTTTCTGGACATTTTATTACTGGCCTCAACTTTCTGGTCCCTTATTTATATCACAAAAACTTACACAGATTTTTTGTTTTTCTTCTGCTGCCGTTACACGGAATGAGAAGGCACTGTTGCACTTGTAGGATGTGAAAAAATTACAAGAAACTGAAAATGAGAATCATAGGCTATTTCAAATTCTAGTAGTACATTATAATTTTGTTCTTCGATTACTAAGCCTCCGTTTGGAAAATTTACAAATGGTTTATGGAGAGGAATAGTAATGAACTCTATGAAATATGTGAATAAAAATGAGTAGTTATGAATGCGTAATTGAAATTAATGTTTGACTTTGACTCACTTTATAAATCATTTATAAATTGTCAGCCTAATGAGGGCTAAGCCTCTATTTAGGTTTCTTTTTATTTGCTTATTTGTTTATTTATTTATTTTTCTAGAAAGTTAATTTCATAGACAAACATTAACTTTAACCACATATTTCGTAGGATCCACAAGTACTACTCACTTATCCACAACTATTTTTTTTTTTTAACGTAAAATATTAGCAAACCAAAATGAAACCCAAACGTCGGTTAATTTGAGAACTTATTCTTTGTTACTTCATCGATCTATTTTATGTTCGTGACAAGTTAGACTTTTTAAACTTAAAAATTTGAATTGTGGTTGATTTTTTTCATGAGAGTTTATTATGAACATATTTGTGTATTTTTATATTCTTTCAATTAGTTCATTGGTTTATCTTGACCCTTACACGCTCAACCAAATTGAGCATTTTTAAACATTAGTTACATATCAGATGGAAGGATTTTAGAAAACATTTGCTAATTCATAGTAACATGATATATTTTTGCACCATGTACCACCAGTTATTGTGAAAATTAATACATGGACCAGGAAGACGTTAGTCACGGGTGGTGGACTTATATTTACTACAACAATATGTATAAACATAATTATTAACCTTAATCTTGAATATCATTGAAAAGGGAAGAAAAGAGACAAGTTTGGCCTACCAAGTAGAATGCGTTCTTGAACTCCTGTTCTATAAGACTACTACAAATTCTAGGCCCACAAGTTTCTCCTCGCACAACAGTATTCCAATTTTTCAAATTCCCATGAGCAAATCAACTGCAAGAATATAATGTAATCCAGTTTCAATTTGCAGAAATAATTCTCTAATCTCCCGCTCATTCCTATTTCAATTACATTCCATGGTTTTAGTTTTGGTCTTCCAATAATCCATCAAACAGCCTAACAGCTACCATGCCTTTATTTCTATCCAAATTCCACCAACCAAATAATATCTTTAGTATAGACACCTATTACCTCAAATCATAAGGATGTTTCAGCAACTGTCAAAATGCTCACAAGCGTACCTCCCCTAACAAGCTATTTGGACCTGAAATAGACTTCTCGTTCTAATGATTATCATCTTTGTAAGCCTGTTAACAGTGAAATGCAAATTTACATCATGCTAATGATATTTATGGAGTGTCATGGAGGTCTCTCATTTTGGTAAGATTCTATGATTCTTCTGAGTCAAACAGAGATGAAGACCACCAGACACCCTGAGGATTTAGGAACAGTCCGAGAGATATTGTCTCATCGGGTTGTGAAATCACATGAAGTAAGGTAGTGGATGAGGCGAAAGAAACGCATCCAAAATGTCAACCCTAAGATGCCTAGTATTGGTTCATACTCATGCTGATTGTAACATACTAGGCACATACGAATGCTAATTAATCCATTATAATATTAACAGTTAATAGATTTGGACATTGAAGCAGTGCATTCAACCCTGCCACAATAGGCAGCAAAAAGATATGAAACTGACATAGCAATCAAAACCAATTTTGGAGGGATAAATTTGGAACACATTGTTGGTGAAGCCTAATAATGATTGGTTGAGAGGTAAATCACACTAGATCCACAATAATGTATTGTTTGACGTAAGCTTTTCAATATCTCTTATGATTAACTGTGAAGAGACCTACTTTCATCATTCGAGACCCTATAATAACCATTACATAAACAAGGAGGTACGATAAAGTACATGAAATCGTCCAATGATGATTACATTAATAAAAGTATAAGAATATATGGGAGCATATGTTTAAAAGACTACATACCATGGAATGGTAAGTGCTTGAGAATACTGTTTTAGCAAATCACTGAAATGAGCTAAATTATGTAAAACTAGGGATGCTAATATCATGTCGTACATGCATACAGTTAGATGCTAACGAATTATGACCAATTAGAGTAAAGCGTGCAAATAGAGCTAAAGAAGCAATGATGGTTTAGCTTCTGTCATAGCCAGAAAGCTAATGTGTAAGAAAAACAAGTTCTACAAACAAATCTAATCGGACATTCGAAATAAAAGGAAAACGGACAAAACCAGCAAGTTCTCTACTAGTCTCTCAATGTTTTCTAAAGGTATGTCTATGGCTCCATTCTTGTAACGATCAGAACATCCTACACGATTATTAGAATGAAGATAACGAATATATAACAGTCAATAACTAGATGGATCAGCATCATAACAACTAATTGTCAGCTTGGCAAAAAAAATAGAACTTACAGATAGAATGTCAATATAAATATATTCCAAACTAGGAAATTTATAAAGGCGTGGTCAAAAGTCAACCATTCCCTGCATTACTAATTCCAGGTGTTGCTCTATAATTAATCTTTAGCAACTTAACTGTTATCAACATATGAAATGATTTCATTCAACAGATTAGATATTAGAAACAGACCTTGTTTGTTAAGGGTGTGGTTGGAACTTCTACACTTAGTGAACAACTATTGGGGAAAACACCCTTCTCCACGTCTCTTATCATTGCTTGTATCAATGGTAAGCAAACGGTCACAGCATCCTTGAAGTCACTTTCGTTACTTCCATCTTTCTTCCTATCATAGATTAATTTGACATCTTATTAGATACATTCAAAAAATTACGGTACACAGCTGTAAGGTACACTAAAGGATCACCAACATACCAGTTTAATGATATTGATATAGATGACACACCATTAACCAATGCTTCCCTAGCCCCAGCAACGACACCCGAATAAAACCTGATATTGTCAGGTAATAAAGTACAGAGCTCATATGAACCAATTATAACCAAAAAAAATTGTACGTAACTTACAAAGTTGCAATAGAAATGGCAACAACTTACATGTGGTGTCCACAGCTTAAACCCCTGTTGATACCACTTATAACCTAAATCAGGCAAAACAAAGAAATGGGGATGCATGTTGTGTAGCCAAGCAATGTTTAAAAGCAGAAAAACCTCAATAATTTTAAGAATGAAAATCATACCAACAGGGGCTTTGACCATGTAAATAATGAACCACATAACGCTAATGATACACAATCCACAGGAGTTCCTGAAAGTTGCATAAAACAAAATATTGCTTCAAAGTTCATTCCAGGAACTCCAATACCAACTCACGAAATTAACATTTCATCGTATTAAGAACATTAATTCAACCTGTAGAAATTGCAAAAGTGAAAAGAAAACAACAGTACCAGAAACTTCGTAAGCAGTGGCACCATTAATATCAACAGAAACCACCTCAATCGTCTCCTTTAGTGATAAAGAATGCCCTGCTGTCGATTTATCCCTGTCAACACATCCCACCAAACCGCCCAAAGAAAGTCAAAAAACAAAATCACAAAAGACTCAAAAATGAATTCATCAAACGCCCAACAGCGTATATCCAATATCCTAAATCCTCTAGATTCAGAATCCCAAACTCAAAGTCATAAATAAACAATACCGAATTGATAAATCCAAAATATCAAATAACATCACGAAAAGAGATATCCATGAATACTATGCAAAAATACGGAATAAGGATTAAAAGAAAAAAGGGCTTGAAGACCAACGATTGAGGGGCGCAAACGTGAACATTGTAGAGCCCTTCTCGAACGAGAGCAGAGACCAAATACGAAAGGCCCGGGGACTCAATACCATCACTATTTGTGACCAAAATTATGGGTTTTGACCCATCATTACCACTGGGCTCGGACGAATCCCCGCCATTACTGGACGAAACGGGCTTGGTCGAATCATCCTCGTTTTCATTGGGATTAGAGGATTCATCACCGTCTCCTCCGCCACCGGTTTTTCGGCTTAACAGAACTTGTTCCAGATTGGACACCAGCCCCGGTGGCAAGAAGTTATTCCTCATAACTGGTGTTGTCATTTCTTGAGAGGGAGAAACAAATTAAAGTGAAAAAAGATAATGAAAAAGAAAAATGGATATCAGATTGAAATGATGATGAGAAAAGTGAGAAGAATATAAACTTGTAGGTTCGGGTTCAAGGATGGAATTAAAATTTAAAGTTATAGAGAGAGAGAGAGAGAGAGAGTGTGTGTGTGTGTGTGTGTGTGTAAAAAAGTGAGCTAAAAATGGATATATAGAACGGTTCCAACGATGTTATACGACATTTCTAGAGAGGAGGTGGTGGCGGCGACGAGGAGAAGCAACGCCTTTAACACGGTGGCGTTTAAACTATACGGACGATAAAGCGCGTGATTAAACCGTACTGAGTAAGGTATACCAGTTTTTTTCAAATCGGATCAAAGATGGTAATTGGTTTGGCCCCATCACAGATAGAATTTGGTAAAAATTTATTTTGGAATAATAATTTTTTTGAAAATATGTGATTAAAAATTTTAAAAATATATTAGAATTTTATATAATATTATTTTATTGAAAAACGTATAATTAATCAGTAAAAATGAATTATAATTTTAATGAAATCGAACAGGGGCAAATTCTACCAGTAATTTATGTGTAACGATGGAATTGAACACCGATTATGTCCTTTGAAACAAAACTCTTTAATTTTTATATTTATTTTTAACAATATTTATGCAATGAGTAATGCTATTTGTAATTGTTCACAACGTTTGCCCTACATGGTATACACATGATCAGGCGTTTATTTGATTCATTAAATGTAGTAATTTTTTGTTGCCGTATGTATCAAGTAATCATTTATCATGTGTATGGCATATATGACGACTGTCGTACTGAGTGATTGCGAAATATTATTGTTCTCAGAAAACTCATTATTCAAAACTCCATTTTTTTTTTCAAAATAAGGATCATTCAACATGGCAAAAGCAAATCATAATTGACTAGTTTTTATTATTTTTAAAATGGTAATTAGTACAAAACGTCTTTACCTTTTAATGTTACTATGCAAAACGTCATTACCTTTTTTTTTTTTTTTGATATTTTCACTCCTATTTACACATTTCATTGCAAAAAATGTATTTTTCATCCAATTTCTCAATAAGAAAATTTAAAATGACAAATATACATTCCTATTTAAATAAAATAAAAATTAAAAAATAAATTGTAATTATACTCCCAAACTTTTTAAAGAATTGCAAATGAATCCAAATAAATTATTAAAAGGATAATCAACACAAAACGTTCATACATTACTATATTATTGTGCAAAATGTAAATAGATGAAGAATTTGATAATCGAGTAGTGATAGCGTAAATTGGTTTTGATTAGGTTTTTCGGAAATGGTAAATTGTGGGGTGCAGGGGTCATAGTTTTGTTTTAGTGTTTTTTTGAGACCCGCATTTATTTTGAATACATGCTAATTTTGTAATATTTTCAATTATGCCAAAAAAGAAAATCCAAACCATTAATTAAAATCGACAATGCTACATGTACCACACATGGGGGCCCACGCTAAATAAAAAAATCGTGAATCCCTCCTCTTATGAGTACGTTGTCATTCGAAATTGTCAATTCCAATTGTACAACTAGAATAATTCAAGTAAAATAAACAAGATCATTATAAGACATTATCTTCCATACAAGTCTAGCCCTGTTTGAGCCCCATTTTAGAAGGAAAAATGAATTTTAAAATAGTGTATCGATGAAAAATGTATGATTAAAAAATAAGGAAAATTTTTGAATTTGTGTGTTGTATTATTTTATTGAAGAATATGTGTTTAAAATTATGTCAAAACACGGTTTAAAAATGCATTTTTGTGGAAAGAATTAGGCTCAAACAAGGGCCTATTGTTCTATCAACAATGAAATTGACAGTTGTAATCTACTAAATGAACAAAATAAATTTAAGAATACCAAAACTTTGCAAAGATTAATTTTTTGTAGAATTAAAGTTCTTTTCTATTTATGGAAATTAAAATACGTCAACTACTGTATCGTCATGGACAATTAAACTGGGTATGAATTTTCTAGCCACGTCGAAAATCTTCTTGCCTTATTATTGTGCAAAATGTAAATAGATGAAGAATTTGATATTCGAGTAGTGATAGCGTAAATTGGTTTTGATTAGGTTTTTCGGAAATGGTAAATTGTGGGGTGGCATGGGGTGGGGTGGGGTGCAGGGGTCATAGTTTTGTTTTAGTGTTTTTTTAAGACCCGCATTTATTTTGAATACATGCTAATTTTGTAATATTTTCAATTATGCCGAAAAAGAAAATCCAAACCATTAATTAAAACCGACAATGCTACATGTACCACACATGGGCCCACGCTAAATAAAAAAATCGTGAACCCATTCTTTTGTGAGTACGTTGTCATTCAAAATTGTCAATTCCAATTGTACAACTAGAATAATTCAAGTAAAATAAACAAGATCATTATAAGACATCATCTTCCATACAAGTCTAGCCCTGTTTGAGCCCCATTTTAGAAGGAAAAATAAATTTTAAAATAGTGTATCGATGAAAAATGTATGATTAAAAAATAAGGAAAATTTTTGAATTTGTGTGTTGTATTATTTTATTGAAGAATATGTGTTTAAAATTATGTCAAAACACGGTTTAAAAATGCATTTTTGTGGAAAGAATGAGGCTCAAACAAGGGCCTATTGTTCTATCAACAATGAAATTGACAGTTGTAATCTACTAAATGAACAAAATAAATTTAAGAATACCAAAACTTTGCAAAGATTAATTTTTTGTAGAATTAAAGTTCTTTTCTATTTATAGAAATTAAAATACGTCAACTACTGTATCGTCATGGACAATTAAACTGGGTATGAATTTTCTAGCCACGTCGAAAATCTTCTTGCTTTTTATGCATACTACTTAATTCTTTGTAATTGTATTGCAACTGAGCATGGGGAAGAGGGAAACATGAAATGGCTGAAAGTATCTTGGATGGCAGCATTGGCATGGGAGCTTTACTTCGTGACAGGAATGGGTAGGCGTTGGCGATATTTGCTGGTTTTCTTCGAAAGCGCAGAGGCTTTGGCACTCAGCCATGAACTTCACTTTGAAGTAGATAATCGCAATGTGATGCTTAAAGCCTAATTTCAGAACATATCCACTTTCGATAAAACGATGTCAATATTCTCAATATGGATGATATATCTATACATCAGAGTCGCACTAAACCTGTAACAAATTTTGCTAAGATAAAGTAATAATTCAATTCTATCAAGATCACAAGTAAAAGCACCAGTTGGTGGCTATGCTAACACAACACCAGAAAAGGTTTGCAGATGAACATCAAAAGCAATCTGTTCAACAAACAACATATTCTAAGTTTTTAGCAAAAATGAAAAATCACATATGCTATTAGTCTAATTCATACCATATACGTGCCTGGTTAATTGGCACGTGCAGCACATGCAAGTGTCTTACTTCCGATAGGGATGGAACCTACCACTTGGACCACCACCATTCCCATATCCTTTACTTCCTCCATATCCACCAGTACCACCACCAGTGCCGCTGCCATAGCTTTTCCCATTGCCATATCCTCCACTACTGCCAGCATTTCCAAAGCCTCTACCGCCATCATATCCGCCAACATTGTATCCTTTACCCATACCATAACCAGCAGCTCCACTATAACCAACTGGAGCCCCATAGGCACCGCCCCCATACGCACCACCACTATACATTGGTCCACCAAATCCATAACCATAGCCATATCCACCATAGCCTGAATAAAATCCTGTAGCACCTGCACCATAATTTCCAGTAAAGTTTCCATAACCACCGTAGCTGCCATATCCACCATAATTACCACCATAGCCTCTACCCGGCTTACCACCGTATCCACCTCTAAAACCTTCTGAACTACTACCATAGTTACCAACAGATCTTGAACTACTACCCCTCCCGCGGAAACGACCTTCAGTTGAATGATCGAAACCAAATCTTTTTGGCTCGGCCCTCTTTATCTCAACCTGCATTGTTTTACATCAAAGGCTTAGGTCACAAAAGTATTCCAAAGAGCAAGAATATGCAGCAAATTTGTCAACTCACTTCTTTGCCATTAAGTTCATGCATTCGACCATCAGAAAAGATCTTATCAACAGAATCTTCATTGTCAAAGGTTACAAAACCAAAACCTCGGGACCGACCAGTGTTGTGATCCATCATAATTTGGTGCTCCACAATGTTACCATAAGAAGAAAAATACTCCTTTAACTCATCTGCAATATAATGTTGCAAAGCATTTGGTTAGCTGGAAAGATCTTGATTTTCTATGAAAAGGAAGTAAAATAAATGAAGATCAGCAAATTACCTTCATGTAATGTCAGTGGAAGACCACCGACAAATATTTTCTTTGTTTTCGACACTCCTCTAACCTGCATGTCTTCTCTAGGGACTGTTCTCTTCACTTCCACCTGGCAACAAGTCCAAATAAAATTCACCAACTCAATTCTCTTCCATAATGGAGAAAAAGAACTGATAATAAATAGGTTAAAGAAATTCCTACCACTCTTCCATCAATGACATGTTCTTCCTGCAAAACCTTATCAGCAACTTCTGGATCAGCAAATGTGATGAATCCAAAGCCACGTGGTCTTCCAGAGATTCTATCCAACATTATCACTGAATCTGTAATTTCTCCATACTTGCTGAAGTACCTGCTGAATGATTCTGGAAGGAGAAGCCAAAACAAATCAGAGAGAAATTACTTTGAATAATAAACACCAGAAACCTGAAACACTGTGGTACAGTCTAAGCTAAATACAATATGGGCAAGGTGATGAACATGCAGAGATATCTCAAAAGTCAAAGAAATCCTTAATCGTCCATCAGCTGTGCTTTATTTATTAGGAGAAGGTGAGGACATAAATAGTTATGTAACAAAGTAAATGAAGGGGAGCACACATGTTGTACAAGTAATATGAGGTACAACTCATCAAGCAATTCCTTTTCTTCCTTCCTACTTATGCAAATACAGAAATTGTAGGTCACCCCTTTCCTTCAAAACAAACATTTCACCGGAACTAGAGCTTGAACCAAGAAAAAGGATTTTGTAGATATATTGAATTGATGATTACTAACCATTTTATTCAGAAAGATTAATACACTTAACAAATATTTTCAAATTGATACCCTTCCGTGTAAACAGGAACAAATACTAGTCACACAATAAGTGGAGGTTTAATTTCCATTCCATATTCATATAATTCCCTGATCTAAGAAACAGAAATGTATAACCATTTGAGTTGTTATTTACTAGATGCAATATATGGTGGCAATAAAGAAAAGTTCAATATTATTCCTTCTAATAACAACTGAAGGCATCTCACAGTTGTTGAAACAGAAGGATCTTATAATCGTTGGAAGCATTTGATAAGTGATGTACATCAAGATCTTAAAAAAATTCTTAGAATACTGAACAATTTTGACGTGTAGATATAATACAGCATCACACTAGCCACAATTTACTACCACCATCCACTTTGATACCAGTCATACATGTACATCTATTAATACATTGGTATGTGCACAAATCCTACTAATCCATTAAATCCACCTCCTTATTCAAAGTTCATTGCAAGATAATTAATAGGAGTTTCAATATTCAATGACGCTTTCCATGATTCCTCTGCTCACTTGATTGTGTCAATCACCCCCTGATTGAGAAAGATTAGCCACCAAATCAGTGCTCTTGTCTTCTCCATAGTAAAGAATAGGTTCGAACAAGACACTATAACTGGAGGTAATAAATATGCATTTGTCCCCTGAGACAACTGTTTCTTTCGACAATGAAAACCTAAACTAAATCACAGCCGTTAAATAAATAATCTATCTTCTTGTAATAATAAAAAAGCAAGGCTCTCATCCTTTTGCAGGAGTAGAACTCTAGTTCTTTTGGAATATCCGGAGAAAATGTCAACAACATGCTATTGAAGCTCCTTGAGCTCATCATGTAGCATGACTGGTTTAGAAAAGATTCTTCAGATCTAAATAAGTGCAATATCGAATGTGTTGTTGATGGATGGCCTCGAGGAATCTCTATGAGTACTAAATAAAAATCTTGTAAGAAATGTTGGACATTTCTCCTCAATTAAGTCAATTCTTCAATCTCACAGTGCAAAAATCTCTTCCACAAGTATTCATCGACATTTTGAACACAACGACCAGCCATGATGACCAAAGACCAAAGATCTCATACTAAGTGTACATCAGGTTGGATAAAGAAACTAAGCTAAAGGTCAAATAGATTGCTACACAGGTAGAAATACCCAAGGAATGCAGAGTTAAGAAACTCGTCACTCAATGGAATCCACAAAAGAGATACATAGATTCCTAAGAGAAGAGAATGACAACTTATCAAATAAACACAGACTTAACATTCAAACTTTTAAAAGTTGTCTTTCAAAATACAATTTAAGACTAACATTTAAGAGCATGCTATTTAATATGCATAAATGTATTCTACTAATACATTAGTATGAGAACATGAATCTTATTAATACGTAATATTCATCTCCTTATTTGAAGTTAACAGGAATATAATTAGTGTGCAGTATCAATTATAGTGAACCCTTTCTAAAACTGATTTTTAAGGTCACTAATTCATGTTTCTCTTTTACCATCCTCTAAAATCAGCAACTTATGTGAAACTAAATATTTACATTCAGATGCATCAATTGGGCAATTAAATACGTGATGTTTCAATGTTTCTCTCAAGCAACTTATGAGCTAAGAAGGCTTACGCCCAATACCAGAAAGGATAATTGTTTCCATGGTTTCTGTGCATATCATTAATATTTGATTGTGGTACATGCAATAAGCAATTAATTATTTTTCCATCTCAAAATCCTTAATAAGTAAATGATCTTTTTCTTTAAGTAAAAATATTCAGTATCCTTCATCCGCTCACAACCAAGATACAAAATTTTCTCAGAATCAGTCAAACCAATTGTGCCAGCCCAATTGTGCCAGCTCTAACTTATCCCTTCAAGGAATATCTTAACTCCCCAAAAACTAGAGCTTCTCTTTTCTCCTACATCAAAATTTTAGTATGAAGAAAGAGAAATATGAACACGATCAGAAAGATGCATGTTTAGAATGAAATTGGAACACAAAACTCACACAGCCAAGTCCCCGGGTTATGGTATGATAACCTAGATAAACTTGAATAAATATAAATGCCAAATCAGCTCCATGCAGTATAAATCCAAGCACTTGTAATTACAATTCTAGTTGTTTAATAATGCACTTAACATTTCAGAACAAAAGAGGTAGCTTCCTAACACTGGATCACAGAATTTTAATACGGACAGAGGGGCAGACCTCAGAGTTTCAAAAGGAAGGAGCAAAAGATTTCAAGAGGGAGACTACCGAAACAAATACAACTATAAGCAAATGCAACCTCTTCTTAAAAGTTAATTTAGTATCATTGTCTAACACAATTTGAAAAACACAAAAAGGCAGCAATCAGCTTGCTTAAAACAATGGATCAAAAATAAATGGTAAATGAAATGAAATTTGCAAGGCAATTCCCCAAGGTTATTGTTCTTTATTAGTTTTAGACCCAGAAAAAATAAATGAAAAAGAATCTGATAAACCATAATAGAAGGAAAACAAACAAATTGAAGTTGAAAAATTGTGTTCACATGGAGACACTAGGATGATAACATTCTTTTATCTCAAGGTCAATCAGTGCAAGTTGCGAAAACTATAGCCATCCAACACCAATATTCATTCCATATTTAGCAGCATTTCCATAATGTATCATGTTGTGTGCAGGATCTTGATAATCATAGAACAGTCTAGAGATTTACCCATTAATAACAAAGCATATAAATACAAAGAAACCCACAACCTGAGTTGGGAGGGCGTGGGGGGTTGAGCACGCGAGTGAATGCTTGTTTGGAATTATTTATAAGTTTCTGAAATTATAATTTGATAGAAATGAGTTTGTGGATAAGGGGTACTAGTTGTAGGTCTTACAAAATGTGTTATTAAAAATTAAAGTTTGACCTATTAAAATTACAAGTAAAAGAGATCCAAACAAGCACTAAGAACAGAAATAGGCTTACTAAAAAAGAGAACCTCAAAATCAATTATTTTGCAAGAATATAGAATGTAATACATTAAACATCAATTTGTTGAATAAAAGAAAAATAGAAGCCTGTACATTTTCTCAATCATCTCAACAACCCTACAAAATCAAAAGAAGGAAGGTTGCACATTGTACCTTCCGAAGTCTCCCACGCAATGCCTCCAACAAAAAGTTTTCTATCACAAGAAGAGAAAAAAAACCAAACAGTTACTGCCGTTTTCACCACACTCATATTTCTTGGGGATCAAACCCAACCCTTTCACTCCTAATAATACCAACTAAACTAAACAAAACATTGCAATCTAATATATAAGCCCTTACGGACCTATGACACACAAACTACACAACTAACCCTGCTGAAAACGACGAATCATGCTTTAAGTCATGACGGGATGTACTATCAACTACGTTATCATTCGACCCGTAGTTTCGCTCGTAAGGTTGTTCCTCTTCATGTTCGTATTGGTCCTCATACTGTTGGTGCTCTTCGAGGTCGCCATAAGCGGCAACATTTTGTTCAGCTACAACATCATAATCCATTGGTTCTATTCTACCTATCAAACCTGCCAATAAGTAAAGATCATATTCCTACTCGCCTCATTTGTTTTACAAATTCGGAGGCTGACAATTCTTTTGATGCCTCAAAATAAGGAAATCATAAACAGAGGCCTGAACCTGATAATTAATTATAACGGACCTGGTAGTTAGCTAGCTATTAATTTCTACCAGAATGCGAGCGAGTTGAGTTGAACGAGTGAGAATTGCGGAGGAACCCTAGCTTCTTTTCCTGTATATAGAATAATCAAAATTTGATGCGATGCGGAGTGATATTTTAAGCGAATTTGCACTTTTCATCCCCAATATTTACAAAATGTTAAAAAAAAAAAGTAAAATTGCAACAAAGGTCCCAAATCTTTTCATTTTTTATAAACTTCACCCTAACCTTCATTTTGTGCCAACTAAAACCCCTAATATTTCATAAATATGCAGCTAGAGTCCAAATTTGACCGTTAGTTGACCGAAAAAGTCAAAATTTGACCAATTTGGACTAAATTAAAAAGGGGTATAATAGTACTTTCATTTCTCTAAAATCCCAAAAAATAAAAACAAATATATAACCCCACTCCCCTCCATCCCATGCCACTCCTTTCTTCTTCGACAACACCTACCAGAAATCATCTCCATTGCCACCTTCTCTTCAACGAGATAATGACGTAGAATATCCATTTATACCTCAGACCACATAATCACCAAACTATTTCTTACCATTTCTCTCTGTATCTAAAGCCCGGTAAAATTCCCCCCCTCTCTCTCTCTCTCTCTGCATCTTCTAGTCATTTGGAAAATTCTTTGTAAATCGATGGTGATGGATACACACTGATGCACATAATTTTATGTGCATTTCTATTGATTTTGTAACGTAAATTTAAGATTGGACCAATAATTTTGGGTAATGGAGTGGAGTTATTGTAATTTGAGTGGGAGAAGTTGGGATTTCTATATCTACAGTGCATTTACAATTTTGGGTAATAATTGGATCGATCTGTGTTTATGAATTCGACTCTTGCATCATTGCCAATTGTGTTAAAAATATGCAACTTGAATTTAAGAACATCGACATGGGTTATTCTTCTAAGGTGTCAAAGTTAATTTTGTTCGCCTTTTATCGTTCTTGGTCACTACTGGGAACTCCCAATCCAATGACGCTGAAGTAATGCAAGAATTGAAGAAGAACATTAACGCACTGAGTTCACTCAGTTGGAATTAGGGGTGAGCATGGGTTGGGTTGGGTCGGTTTATTCCCCAACCCAAACCCAACTCAACATGGTCGATTTTATTTAAAGTCAACCCAACCCAACCCGATCAAGCTTGGGTTGGTTTGGGTTGGGTTGGTCGGTTTGAACTTCGATCCAATTAAAGTTGGATTCGATTATATTTTTGTTAAATTTAGATAAATTTTTAAAGGTTGAAATTACTTGAAAATCTTTGATTTTTTTTTTTTTTAAATACCTATGTAAGAAATTCTTTTTGAAAAATGATGTATAAATAAGTTTAAAATTTATGAAATATTTATTATTATTATTATTATTATTTTATCAATTTTTTGGGATTTATTCATTTCATCGTCATCTTCTTAATTTTTACTTTATTATGAAATAACATTTCATTTGTAAATTATGTTTATAGGAATCAATCAATATAATATAAATTATAAGTCATTTTCATATCTTTACTGTTGTTTTTATTTATATTTTTTTCATCTTAGATATTATTATTTTTAATTCATCGGGTTGGCTTGAGTTGGGTTGGGTTTTAAATCATAACCCAAAACCCAACCTCAAAAATATTTTTTCAACCCAACCCAACCCAATTGAACTTAAAAAACCAACTCAAACCGATCAGGTTGGTTTGGGTTGATAGAGTTGAGCGGGTTGGGATGGAGTTTGCCCAGCCCTAGTTGGAATGACTCAGAGGAGGCAACGATGATGGTAGTTTCCGGCAGGTCTCGTCAGAAGGCCTCAATTTTTAATTTGGGGGATAGGCGTGGGGTGGAGGGGAGTGCAGTTATATATTTATTTTTATTTTTTGAGATTTTTAATTTAATTTTTTAAATCATTTAATATAAGAAAAATGAAAGTACCATTATATTCTTTTTTATTTGGTCCAAATTTGTCAAATTTTGACTTTTTCAGTTAACTAACAGTCAAATTTGGACTCTAGCTACATATTTATGAAAATTTGGATCTTCGTTGGCACAAAATGAAGGTTAGAGTAAAGTCTGTAAAAATTAAAAAGTTGGGACTTTTGCTGTAATTTTCCCAAAAAAGGCCAAAAAAATAAAAAATTAATAATAAAAAAATAAAAAATCCTCCATTCACATTTTTTAGCATGATACATCCTCAACCTTTCAATTATATAATAAAACTCTTGATTCTCTCCACCATTTTTAGCCCTTGTGTTACAATCATTTAAATAATTTTTTTTTTCTAACTCATTTTCAACCTCGCTTTCTAGAAATAAAATATTTTATAGGTAAATTCAATATTTTCCTCACTTTTTAACCATACATTCTTTAAAAATTCATTATTTCAACTCATTTTATGCTTGTCAAACAAGGACTTAACACTAAACGACAGATTTTCCTTCCATTAAAAAATAAAAGAAATCAATACAAATAAATATGTTGAGTTTCATAACTTTTTCAAAAAGTAAAATAATTAACATTTAAAACAATCAAAATACAGGTCTTCATATTAAACCCCCGTTTGGCCCCTATTTTTGATAATGAAAATGGGAGGAATAGTGTTTTGTTGAAAAAATGCGTGGTTGAAAAAGAAAGAAAAATTTTCGATTTACATGTAATATTATTTCATGGAAGATTGTGTGGTTGAAAATAGGAAAGAGAAAAATAGAATGTAATGAAATGTAATTTAATGGAGATCAAACAGGGACTAAAATGAATTTATGAAAAAACTGATAACATAAAATATCATAGCCTACCAAAAAAATCTATAGCCCACATAAATTTATTTTTTATGTTTTAATATGCATTTAATTGTTTTAAGTTAGTTTAATTTGTGCTTTTAAAAATTTATGGGACTGTGTACACAATTTGTCCCAATTATTTATTGTTTTACATTTTTTTATTTTTGTTTATTTGAGAAGGACAAATCCGACATTTAATTGCCAAAATGGAGGAACTTACAAGTTTTCATATACAAATTAAAGGTTGAGAACGAATTATGCTTTAAAAAAACTGAATGTAAATTTGCTACAATTTAAATATTGCAAACTAAAAGTTCAAATTTTCCATATTTAACGATGTTTGAATTGGATCATACTATAATGATATAATTATTGATATAATGTCACATGACCCTTCATCATTAGATTGTTTTAAACACTATCAATTTTTTCATTCAATCACATCTTGTCAACTAACATTATGTCATTTCATCTGTCAATCACTTTCCGTCAAAATGACATAGCCATTTGAATGAGAGGACATTGATTTCCTTGTAAATCTTTAAAGTTGGGCTTGGGCCTCACAAATGGATCAATCTTGAATAACAATTGTGAAAATTAAACACAGCCCTTTTTTTATTTTTCCATTTCAAAAATAAAAAATTAAGTTTATCTTCTCAAAAATCATTCATACATAATATATATATATATATATCTCACGCAACCCCATCTTATCACTAGATTCAACTCTTTCGAACCTAAAATCAAATCGTTGAAATTGTCTTGAGCCCGCATCGATTAACTTCTTCGTCGATTAGCTTCTTCTTCATGAGGCTAAACATATTTCTCAAATTTAAAATACATACTCACCTAATTTCAAATCTACAAATTTTGATAGAGCTCCATTAACCACCAGCTTCCTATCCAAATCCTTCAGTAAATATAAATTAAACCCTGATATCAAAGATAAATAATCTTATTGTCACTCTGTAAATTGACTAAATAAATAGTTGAAAATCCAAAGTGGGGTAAGAATGGGGTGGGGTAACCGTTGTGGTTGGGGGTTGGTGGGTGTGGGTGTGTGTGGCCTTGGTCGTGGCCGTGGACGACTAAATTTATTGTTCTATTTTACAGTGGTTTGGAATCCTTTGGATAACAAGGCAATGACTAATATTGGCAATGATAAATACAGAGACAAATGTTGTGTTGTCATAGCTATTGTACATGATAAGGCACTTGATACCTAGCTATTAATTTATGCTAGAATGCGAGCGAGTTGAGTTGAACGAGTCACAATGAGAGGAGGATTGCAGAGGAATCCTAGCATCTTTTTCTGAATAGAATAATAAAAAATTGATGCAGTGCAAAGTGATATTTTAAGAGAATTATAACTTTTCATTCCCAATATTTACAAAATATAAAAACACACTGTTAATTTATTTTTTTTAGCACAATACATCCTCAATCTTTCAATTATATAAAAAAACTCTTGATTCCCTCCATTCTGAACACTAAATGACGGATTTTCCTGCTATTTAAATAAATAAAAATAAAAGAAAGCAGTAAAAAACATAGCTAATTAAGTTTCATAACTTTTCAAAAAGTATAAATAATTCTCATTTAAAATTAAATATAGGTCAACATATTAAAATTAATTTAGAAAAAAAAAAGATTGGATAAAAATCACAACCTACCTAAAAATTAATTCTCATATATATATACCGTCCATTTGACTTCCTCTTATTTCATATTCTAATTCCCGTCTACAATCTTCTAGCACTAAATATTTTCTGATTATATTAAATGTACAATCTGTGTCTATTAATGCTATCAAATTTAATTTTATTATTTTGATTAACTATACTTCTATAGGTATTCTAATGCTTTTTGTTGTCTTTACTCTAGATATTTGACAAATTATTTCTTCCTGATTTTTTGTTTCCAAATAATTATTTTCTGTGTAATTATCTATATGCTGTTTTCCTTTTGTTTCTAAATTTCTAATCCCGTATTGTATTTTTCATAATATTTCGTGTATTTTATCTATTCTATTATTTGTATCTATCATTTTATTGTCTATTATTTCTATACTTTCACTATAGTCTTTATTTTTTGTATTATTTATTTCTTCCTTAATACCTAAATAATTATTGCATTGAATTTCTAGACAATTCTTACAATGATTTCTATTTTTGTATCCTGGGTATATTCTGCATATTTTATATTTATCCATCATTGATCCTTGTCCTCTAATCCATTCATAGATACAATCTTGTTCTACATTCATCATCTTTATATCTAAAACTGAAAAATCTAGTTCTTCTAAACTATCATAACT